CTGTCCCTCAGCTCTTCAGCTCAAGGCTAGTGCTCTACTACTTGAGCCACAGCGCCACTTCCGGGTTTTTTTTTTCTTTTTGTTTATGTGGTGCTGAGGAATCGAACTCAGGGCCTCAGGCATGCAAGGCAAGCGTTCTACCACTGAGCCACCTTCCCAGCCCCTCCATGAGATTCTTATCTCCAATTAACCACTAATAAAAACGGAAGTGGCACTGTGGCTCAAGTAGTAGAGTGCTCACCTTGAGCTGAAGAGCTCAGAGTATAGTAGTTCACATCTGTAATCCCAGCATATTGAGTAGCTGAAGCAGGAGGATCATGAGTTCAAGGCCAGCCTAGACTACATTGTGAGACCCTGCCTTACAAAACAAACAACAACAACCACAACAAATATCGGCAGGATTAAAGTCACCTATATAATAACTCAGCTATAAGAAGATGAAATGAGCAAAACAATGGAAGGAAATATGCCAGAAAATGCATATTTCAGCAGAGAATAGTATTGATCCACTAGTAAGAATTTAGTAGTCTTAGCCAGGCGCCAGTGGCTCACACCTGTAATCCTAGCTATCAAAGAGGCTGAGATCTGAAGATCACGGTTCTAAGCCAGCCTAGGCAAAAAAAAAAAAAAGTCCATGAGACTCTTACTCTTATCTCCAATTAACCACCAGAGAACTGGAAGTGGTGCTGTGGCTCAAGTGGTAGAACACTAGCCTTGAGCTGAAGAGCTGAGGGACAGCACCCAGGCCCAGAGTTCAAGCCCCACAACCAACAAAAAAGAAAAGAAAAATAAAAAAAAAGAATTTAGTAGTCTTGTTTAAAATCTAGTAACAAACCAATCTTTAATTTTTTGGTATATTCTATAAGTGTCATGTGATATATAATCTGAGTCCCTGTGGGTGTGCCTTTCAAATCACTCACCATTACATAATCTAAGCAATGGCATTTACTTTAGACATACTTCAGTACTCTTTATGAAGTTATACTTGTGACTGGAACCTGAACTCAAAAGCACCAAACACAAACCACTGGATCATATGGAATGTTTTTCTTACGATCTCAGGAAATAGTCTAAAAAGAAATGACTGCCATTTTAACTCTCATTAGTTCCTCCTGTTATTTTTAACAGTAATTCCCCATTTTGGTTATTTTCTATGCCATGTACATTTGTTGCCAGCTTTATTTGTGTGTTACTGAACAAATATTTTGAAAAAATGTTTTATGTAATAAACACTATTGAGCAGCATTATAAGGTCAGGCGCAGCTTCAAACCAAACTGCAAAATTGTAAGTGACATAAAGTGGTGAAGAGTTATTGTTTACTGTTTCTTGGTATTTTATAATCACTCTGGAATGGATTTTACTCAATGATCCCTTGAATAACCATTTTCTTTTAGCTACTTGATATGCACTAAGACATGGTGAGTTTCACAAATAATTGCTGGGTACTTGCAAGTTACTTTTGCATGACTATATTCAAACTACCTGAGAAAACAACTTCAAGTAGGAAAGATGTCTTTAGTCACAGTTTTGAAGTGTTCAGTCCTGGTCACTTGGCCCAGTGCACATGGCAGAATCTCTTGGCATGAGACATTCACAGCAGAGAAGCAATTTAAACCCATGGAGCTAGGGGAAGAGAGACATAGACTAGCATGACATCAAAGTCACATGCCCAATAACCTTTAATAATCATTTGTTGTCTGCATTTTTTTTTGGGGCCCGGCCGGGGGCCCAAAACCCGGGCCCGGGCCCCGGCCCCCAACACCTCAACCCAAAGCCAACAACCCAACCCCTGAACCAAAACCCCAACGCCGGCCTTTTTCCTTTTGCCTAAGGGGGGCCGAAGAAACCAAACCAAGGCCCCAAGCAAGCAAAGCAAACCCCCCAACAACGAACCAAACTCCAAACCCCGCAATTTTTAAATAACTGAATTTTTAAGGGAAGAAGGAAGGAATTTCAAAAGGAAAATTCCAAAAAAGCAAAAAAAAAAACTTAAAAAAAATCCCCTCCCCAACACAAAACCGTGGGGTGTTTAAAATTTGGTGGTGGTGGTGGTAAAAAAATCCGCAAAGCCCGGGGGTGGGGACCCAAAACCGGAAGCCCTGGTAATCAAAAAAACAAGAACCGAAAAACGCAAGTGGAAACCAACCCGGGCAGGCTGTCTGTGAGCTTCTTATCTCCAATAAACTACTTAAAAAAGCCAGAAATGACAAAGGTGGATCCATTCAGCAATGAGACACACTAGACACAGTGTTGGAAATGAACTATACAACTTGGGGGCAGGAGGAAAGTCAGGAAGTGAAAAACTGGGAGAGAATGAGGGAGGGAGTGACACTGTTCAAAAAGAGATGTACTCATTATCTGACTATGTAACTGTAACCTCTCTATACATCACCTTTACAATAATTGCTTTTTAATTTTTAAAGCCAGAAGTGGCACTGTGGCTCAAGGGGTAGAGCATTAGCCTTGAGAGAAAGAAGCTCAGGGACAGTGCCAAGGCCCTGAGCTCAAGCCCCAGGACCAGCAAAAAAGAAAAGCGAGCAACACTTGTATTTTCTCTTAAATATGATAATATATAATACTTATAATAATTTAATATTAATGTGATCATTTAAATTACTATAGCTCACCCTTTAAGCCTACTCGGGAAGCTAAAATCTGAGAATCACAGTTCTAAGCTGGCTTGGGAGGGGCTCCAATCACCATGTGGCCCCCAAAACTTCAGAAGTGGAACTGTGGCTCTAGTGGCAGAGCACAAGCCTTGAGCAAAAAAAGCTAAAGGACAGTGCTCAGGCCCTGAGTTCAAGCCCCAGACAAACACAAATTAAACCCAAAAAAGC